ACGAGATTTTTCACCTTTGGAGTTCGTTGAGAAACGACGTTGACGGAGATACGACTGGGTGTCATTAGTCACGTTTCGTTGAAAAATGAAAAGCGAGGTAGTAGCAATAATGGTATCGGTGAATGGTATCGAACCAACTTCGATTTTTCTTCACTTTTTTTTATTTCTTTTTTTTTTATACTTATCTAAACGATATGTACTCATAATTCTTCTAGAAATATACATAAAAATAATATTGACCGAACTAAAATAAGTATAATGTCGTCGGGAAGATTTTCTTTCATTTTATTATTAATATAACAGACGGAATATTTTGTAATTGTGTTATTTTTCTAAACGATATATAGTGATAATAAAAAACATATAGACTAGTATAAAATCTCGCATATTATTTAACAAAATAATATTAGATAAATAATATAATATTATGCGTATAAAAAATTATCTAAGATTAAGTTCAAAACTTGTTGAATAAATGTAATGTTGACAAAATTCAATAAAAGAGTAAATAATAATATTAACATACGAATAGCTTTGTCGACAAATTATAAACAAATTATTAAATATTTGAATAAACTTCGAACAAAAGTGGTATTTCTTTGTCTAAAAGATAAATGATAAAATAATAATAATATAGAGAAGAGAGAGAGTTTAAAAGATATAATAATAATAAAGACAAAAAAATATGATTAATAAAAATGAGATATAAATATTAAAATGTGTATACACATATATGTGTATGTGTGTTTGTGTATGTACATATAGCTTAGTCGACAAATGAATGATAATAAAGTGTTTGGAGACATTTTGAGCAAGTGGGATTTACTCGTCTGAAAGATAAATAAATGAAAACACTTGGGGGGGTTTCTTGGAGAGAAAAAGTTATCGCGACGGGCCAGGACATTTTCACGCTAGTCGTTAAGTACCTACTACCTACCACCGGGTGTAAGAGAAGCCCGTCGCGTTTCCTCTCGTCTCGTCTCGTCTCGTTTCATCTCTTTCGCACCCTTCGTCCCTTCTTTTTCGTCGCCTAATAAAAGCAACCTTCCGAAAGTCGCAACGCCTTGTTCTCACCCTCTTGAAATCCAAAGACTCGACAGGAACGATTTCGTCCCTTCTTATAGATATTTTTTCTCTTTTTTTTCTCTAACATATATATAGTACATAGTACCTACTCCCATATAGACACACACACACACACACACACATATAAACCTATATACATATTCTTGATCCTTCTAAATCGCGATTGGCAAACGAGCGTTCTCGACGATCGACGGCGTCTCGAAGGGTCGAAAAGAAGGGAATGGGAAAAGAGAATAGAAGTAGAAGAAGTGGCAGAAGAAGAAGAAGGTGTAAGAGAAAAGTAGGGAAGAAAAAGGTATTCCAAAGAGTGCGAAGATCATCGAAATTCCAGGACCGTACTTCTCACTCTCCTTCTCTCTCTCTCCCTATCTCTTTCGCTCTCTGAAGGGAAACACACTCGCGTGTTGGAGGAGGGTTGAGGCCAAAGCAGACGGGGATTGATTGGCTCGTGTCTCTGGGGTTAACGCAAAGGCGCTTTCCCTCTCTCTCTCTCTCTCTCTCTCTCTCTCTCTCTCTCTCTCTCTCTCTCACTCTCACTCACTTGCTCTCTCGTACTAGGTATTCACAAAGGGAACCCATATGCGAACACGCAAAGTCACATGCACGCGTGAAAGCATCTATATATGTATGCAACTCTATACGTGCGTATGCGTGCAATACTCACGTGTTTAGGGCTTTACTACTGCTGGAACGCCATCTGTGATATAAGCACGCGCGCGCGCGCCAATGCACATAGGCATGGAGAAACTAGCGTACAAGAGAGGGAGAGAGAGAGAAATAGAGCAGAGAGAAAGAGAGAGACAGACAGACATACGAGCCGTCGCTCGCGATGGTGGGACCCATTGTTACGGCTATTATTTGCCACTAATCAGAATGTGTGGTCTCTGACGTGGATCCCCGAAGCTGTGTTCGTGCGCGTGAATACGCGAAAGGGTGGTTCTCGGAGGGCGAAAGGGCGAATCTAGTGTAGAACCATCAGAGCTCATGTGCGCTTTAGCGAACCAGAGCTCATCGTTGTAACGCGCGCTTATGTTAGACTATGACGCGCGTACACCTCTTGTTGTTGCTAGCGGTGATGATGATGGTGGTGGTTGGTTGCTTGTAGACGCTCCTGTGGGTGGGGGTGGGTGTAGGTGGTTGGTTCAGACCGATATCTAGAACCTCGCACCACTATCTCTCTATCTACCCATCTGCCACACCACGCCCTTAAATACAACAACGAAGATTTTCAAGATATTCAAAGTGTTGTCGACCGCGACGACACTCCTCATTCTCAACTATAATTTTCCTCTACTGCTATTATTATATCATCATCATCATCATCATCATCATCATCATCATCATCATCATCATCATCATTTTTCTTATCTATTTAGTAATTTTTCACAAAGTACTACTCGACACCTTTTTTCTTTTTTTTTACTCTTTTACTTATACGCTTTATTAAACTCGTATCTCATCGTCACTATACTTCTAATTGATTAACTAGAATAATTATATTTAGATTTTATTATTAATTAATATTAATAATTCACATAATATCGATGATTTTATTAGTATATATAATTATTACCGAATTCTCTTTTATTATTTATAGTTTACGGGGTTTGCATTAATAAATCATGCAAAATGGTTGAATAGAATTCAATCGGGAATATTTATAATATATATATCCATATCGGTGTGTACATTTAATGAAATTCTACAAAAGAGGATTTTTAATAAGAAATAAATGTGTACAATATTATATATACGAATAGTGTTCTCCTTTTGTTTTGTTGTAATCACGTAACCGTAAATGTCATGAATGTAATCATTGAACAGGTAAAATATCAAAAGACCTTTTGTATATTTTCACGAGGTATAAATTTTCATTGAGATAAATCGAAGGTTATTTCGAATATTAAAATCTTATTTTAACGAGCTACTCTCTCTCTCTCTATCTCTCTCTCTCTCTATCTCTCTCTCTCTCTCTCTCTCTCTATCTCTCTCTCGATCTCACTTTTTCTTTCTCCGTCTGTCACTGCTTCTATCTCTAATTTTCTCCCTTTTTCTCTACCATAGAGTCAACATCAACGTTACAACTTTACGAGAGAAATACTGAAATTTATCACTACCCCGTCGCGTTATCGGCAACTGTAAACCTGTAAGTTTGTCGACGATAAGTAGAAGGAATCAAGCAACACAGAGACTAAAAAGACACCGACGAGAAAAGACACGGGTGGTCTGATTTAAACTACGATTGAAGAATCGGCACAACCCCTTTATACAAAGAGAAACTTCAGGACTAGAGAACTCAAGTCGGAATCGATCGATCGATCGAACGAAACTCGCGTTATCGCGTCTTCTTAAAATTCAAACGAATCGTGAGGTAAACGAGACTTTTATCACCCGCCATTTCCATCAGGCGTTTCTGCATTGTCGTCTATACCTTTTTCTTTCTTCCATCCCCATATCCTATATCTTTTACCTATACCTATATACTTACATTGCGTTCATGGAATTTAAACTTTCAAATTTGGTTAGAGTATACTTTTGTTGACAAATTGTACGAGATGTATATTTTATAGATTTTCCTCCCTTTTTTTAAACGCAAAGTTAAAAAACAAAATCACGATATAAAAATCTAATGAAAAGAACAAAAGTGAGAGAGAGAGAGAGAGAGAGAGAAAGTATCATTAACTGGATTAATTAAGTTGATAATCAATCAACGTAAAAAAGTAATGAAAAGAAAGGTAAAAGAAAAAGAAAATTAAGAAAGAAAGATTTGTGATTGGGCGAAAGTTAAAAAGAAAAAGGAAAAAAAAAGAAAGAGAAAGATTTTATCACTTCTAAAGTTCCTTTCATTTTAACACCAGATATAAAAGATCTGACACATTGTGAAGGAACAATGAAAAGAATTTCGTCTGTGACCAACCACCACCTACGTTGTCCTCCTCGTCATCATCGTTGTGGTTGGTCCTTTCTGTCTATTTCTCTCTCACTCACTCGTTTTGTGAAAATGAATGAAAGGAAAGACGAAGATAAAATATTCAAAATGTATAGCCATTAGGCCGAAGACAACGAAGGCAGGTTGCTCAGTAAGGCTCAGGGATCAGGGAAAACACAAGTGTGAGGCAACAGAAAAGACGACGACGAAGGAGGAGGCGTTGCTTGTTGAAGGCGAAGACTGTTTTTAGATGGAATGGTCGAAAGCTGACGTCATCGGTAGGGAGCTCACGAACGAAATAATTAGCGGGGTCGACTAAGAGCTCTCTATCTCTCTCACTCTCTCCTTCTCCTTTCTCTCAACAAACGCACCCTAAGGCGCGGACAGGCTCCCTTATCGGTCTCCTCACCGAGCCCTTCCTCATCGAGCTACCTTATTGGTGCGTTATATATATATATATATATATACTATTACGAGAATAGGCTTCTTTTTTTCCCTTCCTACAAACGTTTCTTAGAATTAATCCACTCTCCACACTATACTAGAGTATAAATCATGATTGTATCTAACGTTTAAAATACCGAATAACGTGTTATTTAACACATTTCGAATTAATCATTATACCCTATAATAGAAGTTTTATTTCATATTATATCTCGGTTTACGTTAAATTATTTTCGATAGTTATTTATTTATTACATTTTTATGTGTCTATATTCGTTATATATTTTTAACTATGTAAATTTATTTTCACTTTCAACTTTACGGATCGTCGTTTTTTCCGTATCGAATGAACGAAAAAGAAACGGAATGATCGCGTAGTTGTTAATGACACTGAAATAAATAAGAGAACGGCTTTCCCTTTCGCTCATATCCTACGGGCGTAATAATAACCAGGAAGGCGGATCGATTTCGTTGCCATTCAATGGCAAGAGCACTTTAGAGTGAACCTTTAGACACCGGGTATACGAGATTAATAACTCACCCTCGATGAGTAGGGTCGAACGCTTCGGTGATGTCGTTGGGGAGATTCCTCCTTCCGTGAACTCTTCTGAAACGATAAAATACGCTTGGTTAATAAACTATTTTCAAGATAATCCTCAACCCCTTAATTACATTGCTTAACCCCTGCCCCCTACACCCTTTTGATAAAACATATTTTAGTTTGATCAAATTAAAAAGAAAATAATTCAAAACTTGTACGCAAAAAATAATTGTTTAAAAAAGTCCAAAAGTATAATTAATCAGATATAAGTAATTATAATAATTAGTTAAACATTTAAAAACCAGTATCGAGTGTATATCGTTAAATACGGGGAATATCGCTGATAGACCAACAAACAAAAAGGGTTAGAGAAATAGAATGGGTTAAAGGTTTAAGAGACTGAAGGCGAAGAAGACTTAGCCAACCATCGAGAACCATTCTGGGGTAGTAGTAGTAGGTTCGATGGAATTGCAGCAGACAGTCCTAGGTGTGGTGTGGCTTTGGTACTACTACCGTCAACGGGAAATGCCGTTTCTCCTGAACGTTCTACACACACCATTAATTCGATAGTTTCGGCACGGACACGTCCAGAGAATGTTCCGGAATTTTAGCCAAAGTGTTAGGCTATATAGACGTGCTACCCAGCCCGCAACCGGACTTCGTTGCGGACAGCAGTAAGGCTTCCAAGATTTTTCGACCTATCTGACAACCGTGGGAAAGATAAAGAGAAAGAGAGAAAGAGAGAAAGAAAGAAAGAGAGAGAGAGGGACTATATATACATACATATACATGAACGAGTTAACTTGTATGAGTAAATTCTCGTGGTTTCCCGATACACTAAACTCTGCACGTATACGCGCGTCTTTCAGGAAACGCATACGTTTTATGCCGGATACATCTCTCTCCTCTCTTGCAGCTTCGAAATATTGTAGTCTCGACGTTCCGAGAAGCGTAACCCCGTCGTGCGATCGATGTCGAAGTAGAGGATACTGAAATAGAATGAGAGAAAGAGAGATAGATAGAGAGAGAGAGAGAGAGAGAGAGAGAGAGTAAGGTAAAGTTGAACAATGTTTCGTGATGTTTCCACGCTGCTATTACGTTGACGATGTTATATCATTACGATGAATGTCGAACAACTTTCTTACCCGGATTATAACGATCCGATGGTTATTTCTCCTTATCGCTACATTGTCTTTGTCTCTCTCTCTCTCTCTTTCTCTTATTTTTTTTTCTTCACTCTTTTTACTACTTAAAGTGGAATATAAAAATGATAGTATATTTTATTGAATTGTCGTCGAATATTTTAATTCGCGTGTGTGTGAGTTATCTCGTAGAAAAATAAATAAAAAAAAAAAGAGAGAAAGAGAGGGATGAATTTGATAGGAAGGGAATAAAAGGGGGCGGCGTCAGAACGGAGTATAGTGATTTACGATTTAAGCATAATGCGATGCAGGATATATGATTTATGCGCGATCTGTATACAAGCAACGATTTACATATACCTTCCTACCTTCCTTCCTTCCTTCCTATCTACCTACCTACATACAACAACCTATCTCTACCTACTTTTTTTTTATTTACCTTGTACGTTTCTAATAATCTTTCGATATCGAGCGAACGATTTAAAACGATATTTTATTTCCGATTACGATTCATCTCGCGATAAATCTCTGTCACCTTTCTTTAACGGACTACTACCAACACCACTACCACCGGTTTTACATAGTCGAAAGATTTTTCATTACATCAAACATTTATCTCGTCGATATTAAAACACGTTTCAAGTTATGTTTAAACGTAGTTTATGCATTTAACTATTTTACGTTCTAATACGTGTAATCGATCTTTTGATTATTAACCCATCGAACTCGATTTATTCCTTTCCTTTTTTGTTTTTCATTTGGAGTGGTTTCAGTATCTTTTATCTTTAAAATAATGAATTTATTGTTGAATTATATATGTTACGCAATATAACGTTTATTATTCTTCAATTATTTATTTCATATAATTTTCTTGAATAATAAATAATAATAAATAATATTAATCGATTCAGAACCAATAATTATTTTTTGTCCTTTTGAATATAACACATACGAGTATGAAAATTATTATTATTATTATTATTATTATTATTATTATTATTATTTTCTTCGTGCTGTGATATATTGTTCAACATTTTCATTATTAGCTTGATTTGATATGATACCAAAAATCAAAATGAGGAAAAAAATACAGTTGGAAAAAAAGAAAAAAAAAACAAGAAGAAAGGGAAAGTAATAACTCGAAACTTGCTATTACCATCTGATATTTCAGTCGAGATAGTATTTAAAGGATTAAATGCGAGAAAATTGATATGTAAGATATTTTAAAAAATTCTCATTCTTTTCCATATTTCCTTTCTCCTTCTAAAATTTCCTTACCATGTTTACTGTCGCTCTCTCTCTCTCTCCCTTTTTCTCTTTCTCTTTTGTTCTCTGATACGTCAATTACAACAAGTTAATTTCTTACGTTATGATTTACAACAAATCATTGTAAAAAACATAACATGTGTTTAAAGAAATAATTAAAACGATACAAGAATGAATGAAGGTGATGAACTTATATATAAATGTTAAATGCAAAAATTAAATAATATGTATACTGCAAAACTTTCCATTTAGGTATCGTAGAATGCACATATTAAGTTTTGTTCTATATTCCCTTATTTTTGATAGATTTTTAATCTAACATTGTAAGAGAGATACGACGAGGGCACGTCAAGAACGTCCTGAAATTCCAATGAAGTTATCCAATGTTACCCTTTACAACGTCCACATCCTCGTCCATGTCTGAGCCGGTGCACGCGAGCACCGAGAATGATTCGAGAATACGGTATACGAGGATAGACAGAAGACACTGTTGGAACATTTTTGGGACATTCGGTAGGAGGAGGTAAGAGAGGGGTGGGGGAATTTTCGATCTCGAAATCTAATCGATCCATGGAGAATAATTTGAATTCCTATGATATTAGATATCATTTGTCGATCGTAAAGAACACCCTTATGGTTTTCGAAAGAGAAAGAGAGAGAGAGACAGAGAACTTATATTTTAGTAGTTGTTTCTTTGTTATTTTAAATAGAAAGAGTTGTGAGAGAAAGAGATAGATTTAGTTGACTTTCGAAGCTGCTTTAAACGTTTATTCGAGACACGAAGCGAAGCAAACGTTGTTCTTCACCCTCACCCCATCCCCCTTTTTATTCTACCCTTGCCACGTTGCTTTCTCCCTCTTTCATCGCATTTTGGATTCTCTTATGCACTTTGTATACGGAAAGTGGCTCGAATGTAAAGGACGAGACACTTAACTTTGATTCTTCTTCTTCTTCTTTTTACTCTTCTTACTCTTCTACCCCCTCCCCTTTGAACTTAGTCGTTCAACTTCATCCTAAGGGTTCGCCTTGTAGACGGAAATGTAGTTCGGAGAAAAATTACGTTGGAATGAGGATAGAAATACTAAGTTTCCTTGTCGCACCTCGTTTGCATAATGTCGGAATCAGCCACGACTTTTCTCGAAGTAGAGAAGAAGGTGGAGAAGGAGGAGGGAAATGAAGGTGCGAGAGTTTTTTCAAGGCGAACTTTAGAAAACGATACCTTTTACGCCGACATTTTTATAGGAAAGAGAGAGAGAGAGAGAGAGAGTAAGAGAGACTCTTTATCGTCATCTTAAATTTTGATAATTTTCACCTGACTCTTTTTCTTTCTCTTTCTCTTATTCTCTCTTTATTTCTCTCTTTAAATAAACCACAGTGATTTCTTTACGAGTAATAAAATCGACGTGATTATTCGCTCAATTTTAATCCTTTATCTGGAATATTTTTTTCTTCCTTATTCTTTATTCTTTTTATCTTTTTTTTTTTTAATTACCAATAAAATAATGAAAGAACAAATAAAGAAAAAAAAATAAAAGGACACAAAGGATAATAGAAAAGCTTTGGTTAAACAAGAAGAGAGTAGTTAAAAGAATAAAGAGAAAAAGAAAAAGAAAGTGAGAGAGAGAGAGAGAGAGAGATAGTTCATTAGTTGTTATTAAAAGTTAAGTGCTACTTTAAAGTATACGAATACATATATACATTTTTTCGTCCCTATCCACAAACGTTTACGAACGTTTTGTTTTATCGTCCGTACTTCTGTTGCTTTACTATGAAAGCTTACTTAGCCCTTCAAAGCCTATTGTGAAACCTAAAGTCCCTATAGTAGAGCATAATGCATAAAAGTATATATATATATATCTACGATGATGGACAAATTTTTTTCACAACTCTCCTCCTTCTCCACCACCACCATCATCATCACTTTTTCTCTACCTCTTAGATGTTATTGTTAATAAACGTTCGTCGTTCTGCCGAGGTAAGATAAAAAATATAATATAAAAAAAAAGATCTTAAATAGTTTTAAAAATTAAAAGAAATAGAAAAAAGAATGAGATGAGAGGGAGAAGGAGAAGTAGAAAGAATGGTTTATCCACGGTGCTTTCTTATTATCTCTTACACTCTTCCTTCTTTACGTTCTGTTTTTCTTTCCCTTCTTCTTCTTCTTCTTCTTATTCTTCTTATTCTTCTTTTTTACACTCACTTTCCTTTCCTTTACCTAAACGTTAACAGTTTCCTCCTAAACGAAAAATATACGACGGACGATTAAGCGCCATGCGCTTAGCCTCGTTTAACTGACGATAAGAGAGAGAGAGAGAGAGAGAGAGAGAGAGAGAAAAATAGAAAGAGAAAGAGAGAGAGAGAGAAGAAGAGAGAGAAAGAGAATGTAACACAGACCATACACCATCAGCCGAGTTTGCTCCTCTAATTTGAAATCCGCTTTATCGCGTGTTGTCGTCGCACTCTCATTACTCTACACACACACAACACCCCCACATACACACACACATATATTTATCGGTAAGTATAAATACATATATATATATGTATTTGTGTGTATATGTGTATACATGTGTATATAGGAAGTTATCTAGCAGGTAGTGTAAGGATGATGGTGTATGGTCGTGGCTCGTATTAGGCGCAAGGTTAATTATTCTACGA